CTGGCTGCAGATATGACTGAGGGGTACTGAACTCAGCGGCAGCTCTAGGGGTCTGGAAAGACTACACAGCTGAGAAGCAGAGCTGGGAATGGGATGAGGTGGGAGGGCATAGGTGGTGCCAAATCATGACTCCGGGAGACCTAGGGTTTAGTAGTGGATCCACCATTCACTTCTGGGTCCTCAAATATAAACATGAGATGATTTTTAAAAGGAAAAAGAAGGTCAGGTAGGTTGAGGACACTGGTAGCTCATTCCTGGTTGCTGTATCCAACAGGACCTAGATTGTGGCTTCCTAACCTGAGCAGGAAGGTTAGGCTGACTGGAATTCCCAGATACTCCGAGGCAAGGGCAGAGCTTGTCACTTCCGGCCAGGGTGACCTGGGTCTGGTGGGGCCTGAATTGTGCCTGTTACTCTTCTATACAGGAAAGAGCCATAGGAAAAACAGAATACTTCTTGGTCTTCAGTGAGTGCTAGAGACCAGGAAGAGCCCTATGAAAGGCTGTCTCTAGGGCAGCCTGCTGGCTAAACTGCCTCAGCTGGGGGAAGATGGGAGGGACTAGTGATTTCTGATGAGCAGGATTGGGGTTGCAGGAGGGGTTTATGGAGCATGGATGCAGTGGTGGTCATATCTGTCAGGCATCAGATAGAAAGATGACAGCCAACTCAGTAATGCCTCTACATTGAGGACCCAGGGTTTCCTTTTCCATGAGCTGGGTGCAGGCACAGAGATCACCTAGGAGCAGGTGATGTGCCTTCTCTAGAATGAATGATTCTTTCATGGTTTCTCTGGTGTCCCTTGGAAAAGGGCAAACTCCTGGTTAAACAAAAAAAAAATGGTTTATAGGCTTCCAATGTAGGGAAGAATAATGGGGAGTAGTAATCTGGGAAGCCAGTGAGGGTCTTGATGTTGCTAAGGTGATCAGTTGGAATCTCTGTCTCTGCAATGGGCTAGACTCTTTCCCTTGTGAACACAGACCTTTGTCCTGTAAGAAAGGCTGAAGGCCATCAGCCACAGTTAGCAACCAGCAAAACAACAACAACAAAACAAGACAGCCAACTTTCCCTAATGTTTGTAGATGAACCCGGACTGGAATCACAGCTAGCACACAAACTTTGGAGGACTGTGTTGGTCTTGCTTGGCAGAGAGAATTGGTCACCTCAGTCCATGGTGATTTTGGTTCAGCATATCAAAGAGGCAGGGCCTCCATGGAGAATCAGGAAGTGAACTCTCGAAGTCACTGTGTGTGCCTGACTTACCCACACTCTCTGTCACCAGTTAATGAGAACGGAAATGACTTGACTATTTTGGAAACTGAGTCATGAGAGAGGACTCCTGGAACTGTGGGCTATGCAGCTGCATGCAAGTCTGGTTGGCTACAACTCTGAGCTTTGATGCTGGAATCTCTCCCTTTTCCTCTCTAGTGTGTGGGTGGGTGGGTGCACACTACAAAGTGTGTATGGCTTCAAAGGATGACTTTTGGGAGTTGGCTCTCTCCTTCCACCATATGGGCTCTGGGGTTGAACTCAGAAGTAAGGACTGGGGACAAATGGACAACTGCCTTTACCCACTAAGCCATCACCCCCAGTCCCAACACAGACCTTGTTTTTGAGATCTAGTGTTCCACTGGCCTGAAACTTGGCAAGAAAGCTAGACTGGTCAGTAAACCTTAAGGATCTGATGTCTCTGCCTAAAACTGGAATTACAAGTGCATCATACTTCCTTTTTTATTGTTACTTTTAATAATGTGGATTCTGGAGTGTTGAACTCAGGTCCTCATGCTTACAAGGCAAACACCTTATTGACTATTCCATCTCCCCGTGGTATAGGAGTTCCTTCTATTTGTGTTGTTTTCATTGGATAATGAATAAAGAAATTGCCTTGGCCTAGTTGATAGGGCGGAACTTAGGTGAAGAAGACAGAACTGAATTCTGGGAGAAAGAGAGCAGAGCCACCAGATCAGACATGCTGAATCTTTCCCAGTAAGCCATGACCTCGTGGTGATATCCTGATTAATAGAAATGGGTTAAATAAAAATGTGAGTTAACCAATAAGAGGCTGTTCACGGTGACCTTTCAGGAGCCCTTGGACAATAAAACTATATTTGCCTGGAGGTAAGAGGCAATCCACAGGTTCTCATCTTTTGTGAAAACAAAATGAAAACCTCTTTTCCAAAGCACCATATCCTTAGACCCAAATTCTGAAGTCAAGATACCTTTATAATATATATGTTTAGCAGCCCATATAATGAAATATCTTTCTGTACTTAGCTCCTTCACAGTCAAAAAATCAAAAATAAGACAATAATATACATAATCCAGATTCTCTGTGACTTTTCCATCTTTTTAAGTTATAAACTGATTCTCCCACTAGCTCAGGCCCCATATTAACTCTTATAACCATTATTCTTATCTATGTTAGCCGCATGGCTCAGTACTTTTTTCAGTGGGGCAAGTCACATCTTCTTTCTTCAGTGTCTGGGAAAGACTGCGGCGGAGAGAGCTTCCTTCTTCCCAGAATACTCCTGTTCTCATTGCCCCTCCTCTACTTCCTATCTGGTTGTCCCGCCTATACTTCCTGCCTGGCTACTGGCCAATCAGCGTTTTTTTAAAACATAATTGATAGAATACAGAATGCCGCGCACCATCCCCCCCCCTTTTTTTTACAAAGCAAAATATCCATAGTCCATTATATGGGAATGTGGATATAGTATGCCAGGCTACTTCCTGCTGGTTGGGGGCACTGATAATCTTATGAAGACCTAAAGAAAAATTTGAATTATGATCAAGTCCTGACTGGAGTATCCTCTGAGTCTTGATCATCTCAGGCAGCAGTCTTGAAATCTCTTCTGGATGTAGAACTCAGATTTCTGGGTCATCTGTTCCTACCGGAGATTTCTCAGGTGGTCTTCCTTGATCAAATCTGATTTTTCTTCACTCATAATGAACCCACAGCCTCTCATTTCCTGTGGAAACAAAAGCAAAATCTCTTCTCCAAAGTAACATACCTTTTTACTTCAACTTTGAAGATATTTGACTTCAAATATCTTGATGGATTAATTCAGCAGATTTATAAGCAAATATCTTTTAGCAGCTGTTGCTCCTTCCTCAGCAAACAATTCAAAGAGAGCATAATAACATACAGTATCAAGATTCTCTGTGTATTTTCCATCTTTATGTGGCTTTACTTTAACCTGTATTTCTTTTATTTTTATTTTTACCTTTTGAGACAGGTTCTCTGTATATCTTTGGCTGTCCTGGAACTCCCTCTTTAGACCAGGCTGTCCTTGAACTCACAGAGATCCATCTACCTCTGCCTCCCGAGTGCTGAGATTAAAGGTGTGCGCCACCACTGCCAAGCTGTTCCAAGTTGCCATCAAGCAAGCCACATGAAGCACGATGCCCACAACCCCCATCCAAATGCTTGATCTCCCAAAAGAGTCAGAGGTCATGCTAGGAGCATAGCCCAGAAAGCTGGCATTTTTAAACTGTCGCTTTTTTCCTGTTGCAGCTGCTGAATCAGGAAAATCTCTCTTCGGCAGCTGCCAGCAAACAGCAAAAAGCTATGTTAAACTCTATATTTGTGTCTAGAATTCCTTTTCAAGCCCTCTTATGTTTTATGTGGAGTTAGTTGACCACATTGAAGTGCCAAGTGTTGACATAAATCACAAAACAATCCCACACCAGTTTGGAATTATGATCAATAAAAAGGTTATTTATTTAAGGGGAAAACTTACAGATCACTGTCCTAGACAACAGCCCTCTGTGTGACCAGGAACAGAATCTAGTAGCTGGAAGCAAGAAAGAGCGCAGGGCTACCGCTGCTTTATAAAGTGAAAGAGCCCACACCCAACTGGGCTGGTATCTTAAAGGCTATTGGCTGAAGGAGTGGAAGGAGTTTCTGCAGCACCCACGAACCATTATTGGGTCTTACTGAGAGTGAATGTGGCATATTCCCAGGCCACCTTAAAGCATAGATAGGTATCCTCCCATCAAAGAAGTCTACGTTTTGTTGCTTACCCACCCCAAGAAGTTAAATTTGTTCCTAGTGTTTTGTGTTATATGCCTGGTTCCTATGCTGGGCAGGATCTCCTTTTTACATAGGATGTTCTAAGTGTTTACTGCCCATCCATGCAGGGACACTAATGGTTTTCCTACCTCCCCAACCTGCTGGAGACAAGGTCTTTTATGTAACCTAACTTTTGGCTCTCTGCTTCAGCGTCCTGAGTGCTAGGATTATAGTCATGTGCCCTCTTGCCTGCCTATGTTCCTCATTATTTTTAGTGGTAATGAGACAGAAATTGCTGTTGACTTTCACAGGGTTCTTGAACCATACAACTGTGATTCCCAGTGTGCTCAAGCGAGAGTGTGCTGAGGCAGGTGGATGGCATATAAGGAGAGCTTGCCTATAGCTACTCTTTCAATGGTTGCTGTCATTGGCTTGGCTGCGGCTAGAATGACGGAGTCCTCTGACCATCACTGTCTGTTGGGGACCATGTGGTCAGGGATGACTGGGAAGCCTGAGCAAGTAGCTTAGGGCTGTGCCATTCATCCACCTACCGAAGCCCATCTGCCCATGACTGCTGGGTCTAAGTGGCCAGCAGCTGGACTACACAGCATTTATTCCAGCTCTGGTCAGTTCTTGCCTCATTATCTTTTTCCCCCTTGTTTTGAGACAGGGCCTCACGTCGTTCAGTCTGTTATTAAAATTGCTAATAGCTGAGGATGACTCTGAAGTCCTGACCTTTGCTGCTCAAGGTCAGGGATGACAGCTGCACACCACCACTCCTGGTATATATGGTGCTGAGGACCAAACCCAGGGTTTTCTGTGTGTTAAGGAGTTACCGAAGAACCGTCTCATTCTCGTTTCAGTAGATGTTTATCCAGCATCACTTTGCAGGGTTCTTTCTACGTGTGAAGCAGATGAAAGCACCTGCCGTTGGTTGCTTATTACGTCCCAGAGAGGCAGACAAAACACATAGTAATGAATCAGTAAGTAACATAGTCATTTACAAAGTTAAATGCCAAGGAAACACACAAGTTCAGGGGAAGTGACGGAAAGGATCAGGCATTTAGGGAGGGAACAAATGGAGCTGGTCAGAGAAGGTGGCTCCATAGCACAGCCCAGAAAGTGTAAAGCCTTGGGTTTGATTTCTGGGATAGCAAAAAGACGATCTGTAGGAACCAAGACAGGGATTAGGTGAGCAGCCAAGTGGATCCTAGGCAGACTGATAAACCAATGTTGAGGCCCTAGGAGAAGGGATTGGTGTGTTTCTTGAGCCATCAGGCAGTGATTGGCCCAGGCCAGCAGGCTAAAGCCACTGATGCTGAGACTGGTGGGCGGGGCCATTAGTGCAGATCAGGCTATTAAGGGACCTGGGAGGACTTGCATTTAGACCTTTGGGGCTCTTTCTAGTCGCGAGCATCATGGAGGCTGGTGTCCAGGGGTAGTGTTTGTAGAGCACATTTTAGGAATTTTGAAATACATTTGATTTTAGTCATGAGTTATACAAGACTGTCTCACTCATAATAACCCCTACTCTCTAAGAAGAAACCAAGTAGCTGGGCTAAACAATTAGGTGTGAAATCTCCGGTGTGATCCACTTCCCAAGAGTCCAGACACATTTTTAAAATGAACCAGACTGTGGACAGTATCCCACGTTTTTGCCTTTTCACTTTACTTGCCCTGGATGTTTCCCCGCTGCCAGACAGCTGATGTCATCGTTCTTTGTGACAGCGATAATGTTCCCCAGTTGAGTGACATCCAGGTGGTTTCCAGAAACTTGCACAACAGACTTGCTCCACAAGGAACTGTGTCAGTGTGCAACAGGAAATGCACCACTTGGCTCCTGAAAAATAAAACCCAATCGCAACCTGTCAGAAGATGCTCCTGCATCCATACCACAGGATCCAAGCCTGGACTGTGGTCCAGTGTAGCGGACAGGGGACGTGCCAGGTTGGCCCCTACCTGCTGGACAGGTGAATGCTGGTGCAGGTGGCACCCAGTGTGGCAGAACTGACCCCTTTAGTGTTCCAGAAACCTGACCCAGTGGCTGGGTCAGGTCCATAGATTTGGTGTCAGTTGACCTTCTGCCCCACTGACCTAGGATTGCCAGGAAGCACCCCCCCCCCCCCAGAGCCCCTGTAGCACTAGCTGCGGTCATTCCTCCTAGTCTTCGACTCTTAGAGTCCCCAACACTTTCAAAGGACTGGAACCCTAGACTTTCAAGACAGCCGGCCCATTCCGCTTCTCCTAACAGTGTGCTCTGTTGCCCTCTATCCCCCGTTGGTAGGAATCTGGGGACGCAGAAAGAGGCTGGATGCTTTTGTGCCCTTTCTGCCTTCAGTTCACCAGCGTCCTAGTTTGCTTTCGATTGTTGCGATAAAACCCTGACCAAAACCAACTTGAGGGCGGAAAAAGGTTTATTTCGTCTTACACTCTATCGCCAAGAGAAGCCAATGCGGGGACTGAAGCAGAGATCCGCCAGGAAGGCTGCTTGCTGGCTTGCTTCCTCCTGCTCGCTCAATTACCTTTCTTATACAGATCAGGGCCACCTGCCTAGAAATGGCACAGTGCCCCGCCCCCACCCCCGCCACAGCGATCAGCACTCAAGAAAATGTACCTACAGAGGACGTGCGCACCACAGCCTTGTCTGCTGGAGGCAGCTCCTCTCGTGGGGTTTCCTCTTTCCAGGTGACTCTAGCTTGTGTAACGTTGACCAAAAACTAACCAACGCACTCACGGAGAAAGACAAAAAGAACCACATCAGAGGCAGGGGTAGGCTGGGGAAGACAGCTTCCGGCCACGGCTTTGTTGGGCGGGGGTGTTGTGTGTGGAGGGGGAGGGTTTGGGGTGGGCCCAGTGGGGTCAGTCAGGAGAAGCTGTGGTGAGGAACAAGGGTATGTCCTGGCAGGAGTTCCTACACGCAGAGGTTTCAGCTCAGAGTCACACAGCGACTCTGGGACTGACCTGAGAAGAGGGTGCCTTTTGGACCCCGTGGGCTTAGCTGGTAAGAATCTGCTTTGCCCTACTTCCTTCCTTCCCTAGTCCCTCCCATCACTCTCGGTTGCGAGATCTACTACCTTCAAAACTCAAGGAAGGGGAGACACAAAGGCCACCAATCCGACCGGCTCATAGTGACAAATCCTACTTACCTGCCTGTTTTCCGTGACAGGGTTGCAGCTTTGCACTACCAACAAGGTGTCCGGTTTGAACTCTGGTTGGGAAGCTGGTGCAGCCACCGGCTGGATAGCTCTAGCCCGTGCATTACCTCCCCTGACTTTTCCTGTAAAGGGCCCCAGGGAGTAGCTCTGTTTGCAAGTTTAGTGGGGGAGCCTCTGGTCTCTGCAACTCCTACTCCTCTCTGAGCCAATCAGAGGTGGCTCCCTCAAAGCAGACGCCAGGACGCTCCTAGTTAGGCACAAAGGCATTTTGCTTGTAATAAGGACGTGACAACAAAGATCTTAACAACAACAACCCCCCTCCCCAAACGGCCCCCTGGAGAGGCCTGCCTGTAAGTGTAAGCAGAGCTTAAGAGTTTGCTCAAGGGAAAGCGGACACGACGTCAGCTTTATGGTCTTGAACCCTGATAGCAACCCTTCTATTGCCTCCACTGATTCCATTTTGTTCTCTACCTTGGAGCCAAAACAGACAGGAGGGAAGTTTTTTGTTTGTTTCTGTTTCCTTTTTTTTTTTTTTTCCCTCCACGAGGCACTTTAAAAAGTAGTGTCTGAGTCTTCCAGGTACCCTCCTCACAGGAGGAGAAAAGCCATCCACAGTGACGCCGATGCAGTGTGGAGTTGGGCATTGCAGAAGCTTCTGACCGTTCCAGAGGTCTCTGGAACATGGGCTCAAGCATGGAATTAGTAGGCAAAGCCACCTCCCCACCCCCCCCACCCCACCCCCACTTATCTGCAGGGGAGGGATCAGCTCTCAGCTGGCCAGGCCAGTGTCACTGATACAGCTGGTGTCATCGTTACCTTCCACTAACAGATCACTTGACACCTACTGGCCCAGGCAGGGTTGGGTCTGAGTAGAGGTATGGACCCTTATTGTCCCAGAGCCCCAGATGAAGCCACTCTGCAAGGCATGGCAGAAATGCTATGACCAGCAAGCAACCTAGGGCTAGATTGCTTCCTGCCTCCAGTTCGCTTCTCAGCTCCTCAGTTATCACTGCTTAGTTCTATATTGCTGTCCCAGCAAAGATGCTATATAAGGAAAGGACACCTGGAGTGGCCCCAAAGTGAGGACCCAGAACAGAAGTTTGACTCCTGGATTGGGGATCTACCTGGCCTTGCGGTTCTGACGGGCTGTGCTCCCGCGTGCATCCCCTCCAGCATCATGCTGCAGCAGATCCTGCACGACATGTACATCGACCCTGAGCTTCTGGCTGAGCTCAGTGATGTGCAAAAGCACATCCTCTTCTACAAGATGAGAGAGGAGCAGCTTCGGCGCTGGAGGGAGCGGGAGGCCTGGGACACACTGGCCCAGGCCGAAGGCCTCAGGCCGGCAAAGGTGAAGCGAGGTATGTGGCTTGGAGTCACCCGGGAGGTAAAAACCTTTATGAGTCCAGGTTGAGTTCATTCATATAAAAGATGGGGGATTTGAAACTCTTATGCTGGGGGCTCTGATTCCACTGGCTTGGGTTTTCTATCTTCCAACCAGGAGGATAGATGAGGATGTGGCCAGGATTATGCCAGACCCAGATGGGCTGGGGAAATGGGAACTTGCTTTGTCTTGTATACGGCTCACATTCTGAGACAACACCACTGAAACCATGCTCAGATAGTTGGCAATTGCGTGACGGATAATAGACAACAGTCTTTCTATCATTCTTTTTCTGATTCTGGAAATTGGGTCTAAGACCTTCTGCATGCTAGGTAGGCCCTCTGCCATTAAGGTGCATGCCCAAACCAAGGATGTATTCTTCTGCCTTGCTACCAGTTTTAGGCATAGTGCCTTGAAGATATGTATGTCCTTCCTTCCTGCCATGTAGACTCTGGATCTCAGCTCAGGCCTGTACTCTATATCCTGCCTCTCTGTGCATGTTAGAGGATGCTGTGGTTGTATTCGGAGGTTCATTGCACATCTGGCAGAAGGATTCCAGGAGATTTCCTTGGACGATTATTCATCATCTCCAAATGGCATTAGCAACTTCAGGCAAGAAGCAAGGGCCCTGTCTTCTTTATATTCAAAGTTTTTTTTTTTTTGTAAGTCAGTCAGAGCCATGGATTGATGCTAAATGACCTGCTTGTGACCTCTAGCTAGCCTCAGACAGGCTATTGCACCTTGGACAGGATGTAAGAGCCTGTTGTGGAGAGTAGCTTTTGTGTATGTTGCTCTTGCTTTGTGGTCAGTTTGAATGCTTTAATAGTAAATTCTGGGTTACCAATAACTCAGTGTTGGTGTTGCATGCATTAAGGACGGTAGTTTTCCTTGGCGTCATTTGATGAAGAATGAGTGTTGGTGTTGCATGCATTAAGGACGGCAGTTTTCCTTGGCGTCATTTGATGAAGAATGAGCCCAGATTCAGTGTGCTACTTCAGTCTCAGTATAGCTCCCATCGCCTTCTGTCTGTTGGGTGAGTCTGTTTATGTGCCGGATAAGGCTGTCTTGTGGATCTGTCTGTCCCTGTCTCTCCTGCTCTGTCCCTAACCAAGGGTTTTCTCTCTATTTTCTTGAACAGTACAGAAAGCATCCCTTGGTGGGAAGGGATGAAGGGTACTTTACAGAAATCTTGAACACAGTTTTATGAGAGATTAAATCACTGATCCCCACTGACCGCAAGTAACCCAGATAACAAAGAGTACTATAAACATCATTGTTTACCAAGCAATGTTTGTATGCTTCATTCAATATTTATGGTGGATAGTCCTTTTCTAGGGTTGTTTTCATCCAATATTTGCTGGTTTTGGCAAGTGATTATTATGACACATGTACCAAACACATGCATTACTCTTGAGTGAGGGGCATGGGAGCTACCTTGTATGACACTTGCTTGGCTCCTGGATCTTGACTCAACTGTATTCTCTATGCTGATACGTGGGTCAACTGTGTGCCCTATGGTCCTTTTGTTCAAAGTCTCCAAGGCTAAAACTTGGTACAGTCCACGAAAGCCAGGTGGATTAAGATTTTGGGCTATGCATTACTTTAGGCAGGAAAAGTTGATTACCTGGGAACTCAAGGCAATTAATGTTGGTTGTTACGCTGCCTTCTTAAAGGCAGATTAAACAAACAGGCTGAGTTCACAGTAGGATAGCAATCTTAAGTCTTAGTAATATCTCAAGGTGTATTATTGACTGTGAGGTACGGTAAAAGTTCCAGTCTCTAAAAATGTAAAGGCTATTTTATCATAACACATTGCCATAACTCTATACTTGGCAACACAAATACACTTGCTTTCTTTTTTGCTTCCATGACCCTCACTTGGCCTCCATCTATTCATCAAATGAACTGTATAGCTTTGATTTGTTCAAAGTGTTCAGTCCAGGCCAAATCCTGTTCTAGGGCTGGGCATATAGGCCCATAGGTGACCTAGCTTCTGCCTTCCAATCCAGCCTCACTGTTGGTCTGCTCCAGTACATATCAATTGGCACGATGGCACTACCTAATCATGTCCATGATTTTTCTTACTGTTGGCAATGTCCCTTTGTTTTATGAGTGCCTGCCCTGCTCCTGGAGACTTGGAGGATGCCCTTGGTGTAGGAAGGACTTGCTCCTCTGTAGCTTCCTGGCACTAGGACCAACCCCAGCTGTAGCGTTTGTCACCCTGGCATTGTTATTCATCACTCACTTGTCTGGCTCTCCCAGTAGATCCCAAACTGCTAAACCTTGGAGCTTTACTTCAAGTGTTTTCCTCCCTTGGGGCCCAGCATAGAACTGGGACAATGTTGAATACCTGTTTTGAACAAGAACTAGCAGAAACACCCTCCACCTGCCCCCACCCTCCCTGTAGGGTGATTGTACCAGAGCTCTGACATGACAGCTGGGGTATAGGTGCTAAGTCTGGGCTCCATGCTCTGGCAACCGAATCACTAGCTGGAGAAGTCCACAGCCAAAGCTTTCCAGCCCCCCTCTGCCTGAGTCCTAAGGCCTCACACCTATTTGGTAGCTCCTCTGGGAGAACGATAGATGCCTACAAATTTAACTGCAAAAATATTTAGGTGGCGATTTATCACATGCTGACACCTACATTTTCATATATAAATTATACACTATACTCATTTGGGTTTCTGATGCAGAAGATTCTCTTCTGGGTAATTAGATTTGTGATTTATAAAGAATAGCAAAGAAGGGGAGCTTACTGAGTAATATGTGCCTCCTAGGCCAAAATCCCATTCAGTTTTCAGTCTGTGATCTCTTTAGTGCTGCCCCCTTGGGAACTTCTTAGGCCTGACCTGGGGAGAATTCTAAACAAGGGACTGGCTATGCCCCAGGAACCAGAAAACTTTTTGCTGGAGGCTTGAGAGTGCATAGTGCCTGTTTCCTGTCCTGGGATCCTAACAAGGAGTCTTGAAGACCCTACACCCTGTGTGTAAACTTTGTTCAGGCACAATCCCGAAAGGTCCCTATGGCCGTACTTCAGGTGAGAGTGCTGAGCCTCACAGAATAGATGCAGTACAGCCAATGGTACCCAGCTGCTGAGAAATGAAGTCAAATCTGCATCCCATGACTTTGACTTAGAATGGCACGGCCGAACTTTTCCTATACAATTCCTTCTGATCTTGGAAATCCAGTTAAATACATAATCTATCATTTGTTCTCATGTCTAGCCACTCACCTGTACATTCACTTACCCTAAGTGCTGACATCGATGGGGTTGTATAGTTTTAGCCTTTGAAACTTTGACTAGAAAGATCACAGGGTACCCAGTTACACAAGTGCCAGGATCCAGGTGTCATGAAAGGCATCTGTATGGTGGCTCAAGGTAGGAACATCCTTCCATTTTTCTCCCCTGCATGCTTGCCTTCCCTTCTCCTAACTTGTTCGAAAGGACACATCTACTGTGCCCCTGTTGAGTGGTCTGCTGGGTTCTTGGGATTTCTCTACAACATTGCTCAAGCATGCTCATCCTGAAATGGTCTCATGCTCCTCTGGCCATTGTCCCCACCCTGTTTGTTTTTTTGACCCTCTTCTTTTACTGGGAAAAATTTCCAGCTTACAGTAGACCCGAGTTCACCACCTGGGAGCTCAGGTCACACTCTGATAGCACTTAGAGTCAGGCTAGGGCAAAATGTCCTGGCCTATCTCTAGTTATGTCTGATGAGGCTGTGACTAAACCCAGGAATCATGAATCATTCTAGTTCACAAATCTTGCTGACATTCCCAACTCTGGGGCACATATTTGAGATCACAGAAACAAGCTAGAATGATAGCTTAGACCTCTGTTACACGGGGGAAGGACAGGACATTGGAATCTGGGATGAGCACACATTGTTTCTCTCATGATGAGACTCTTCTGCCTCCACCCTGCTCTTTGGTACAGTCTCCTGACGTAGTTGTAGCAAATGGAGACACCCTACTTGAAAATCTGCTTGTCTACCATCACGTTGACTGTTGATACTTCTGACCCTTTGTTGTTCAATGGAAAATCGTTTTGTCACATTGAGATAATGTGGCATAACTATGCACCTGCAAGATTTCATGCAGTTATTCCCACATTCTAAGGTCTGTGCAGATTCTTCTTCCTCTTCATTCCTCATGGTAACATCAAGTTGGGACTCTTGCTCATGTGCACTTTCTTGGGACTGGCATTAAATTCTTTTTTTTTTTTTGTTTTTTTTTTTTTGTTTTTTTCGAGGCAGGGTTTTTATGTGGTTTTGGAGCCTGTCCTGGAACTAGCTCTTATAGACCAGGCTGGTCTTTGTTTGTTTTTTGTTTTTTTTTTTTTTTTTTTTTTTTTTTTTTTTTTGAGACAGGGTTTCTCTGTGGCTTTGGAGCCTGTCCTGGAACTAGCTCTTCTAGACCAGGCTGGTCTCGAACTCACTGAGATCCGCCTGCCTCTGCCTCCCGAGTGCTGGGATTAAAGGCGTGCGCCACCACCGCCCGGCAACCAGGCTGGTCTTGAACTCACAGAGATCCGCCTGCCTCTGCCTCCCAAGTGCTGGGATTAAAGGCGTGTGCCACCACCGCCCGGCTGGCATTAAATTCTTAAAGTGTTCAATGGTAAGGAGTAGCAGCATCTCAGTTCCTCTATTCTTGAGTTGAGTTGGGTTGATGCTGTTTTTTTTAGCGGGGAGGGTTAGAGACAGGGTTTCTCTGTGTAACAGCACTGTCTGTCCTGAAACTTGCTTTGTAGACCAGGCTGTCCTTGAACTCACAGAGACCCACTTGCCTCTGCCTCCCAAATGCTGATTCAAGGCGTGCACCACCACGCTCAGCTGTTGATGCAATTTTAAAAATGTGTATAGCCTGGTGAATGGAAGCAGATCCCTTGGATTTTATCACCTGGTGGTATAACCTTGGAAATTCACCTTACAATAGGAGTAACAAAGTTTTTCTAACAGTAATGGGTGGAATTCAAAAAATGTCTTCGTTTT